TTTATTATTATTTTTATTTATTAATTTTCTATTCTTTGATTATAATAGTACATATATTAATCTATTCGAAGTATTAATTCGTTTAAAAACAATTTATAATTATTCATTATCACTTCATATATTTGGTTATTCATATATGAAACATGAATTAATTTAACATTTACATTTAATCAAATATTAGACAAATTAATATCATTGGATGGCGTCATTAAAAGTACCTACATTTACGAAAATATTTATCTAGAGTAATCATCAAACGACTTGGACAATCAATTGTAATGTCATATCAATCAATTAGAGATTGTAAATATTATTTTTGTCATGTATCTATCTATAGCTTGATTCAACAGTCACGTACGATTTATTTTGAAACGATTAATAACGTTTATTAGTGAAAGATTTATCAGGTTTTTTGTTTATCTAAATTACGTTCATCCATTCGAAATTTAATATATAAGATTAGGAAAAAGAGTTAACAAAACCTATGCATATTTTTTATTTATTTATCTTTTTTCTCATTTCGATTATTTCGTTCTGTTCGATATTCTTTACGAGCTTCATTAAGAAGAACATTCGTTAAAATATTTGAATAATTTCTTGGATCAGGTATTATACGTGGATATGGATTATCTTTCATTTCGAGAACAATATTTTGTCGTGGTATATGTGGAAATTTAAATTCACCATATTTGATCGGTAAACGATACGACTAAACAAAACAAAAAAATATCAAGAAAATTAAAACATAATATTAAATTAAATTCTAGAATATACATTTGTATACGGTCCTATTGTATTTGTATATCGAGGAACATATACTTTGAATACTTTATGAATTAAATCTTTATCATTAACCCAATAATCCTGATTTAAAATTATAATCCATTAATTAAATTAAAAAAAAAAGAATAGAATGTTTCATACCATAAGTTGCATTGTACCAACATGTCTGAAAATAAAATCAATTGAAAATGTGTATAATTAGATAAAAAAGAACAAAATTTAAAAAAATTTAAACCTACTGATCACCATATTTTTTAGCTAATTCAATTAAACGTTCAGCATATTGTCTTGTTTCATCATGTGTTCGAATATAACCTTCTATTCTAAATAAATAAACGAGAATTTTATTCAACAATTATTAAAATTTAATATTTAGAGAATTCTTTAAATTTATTCAAGTCTCTGGACTTATTTTCTTGTAATAGTATACATTCTTTCTCACTCATCTATTCAACGTTGAAATAAAATCTTGAGAATGTTAGGCTGCGAAGCTGCTGACTTTATTTACAAAAATATAAGTTATAGTTTTCTTCCTTTAATCTAAACAGTTCCAAGATTATCCTTTCGTACAATGACGATTTACATTCAATAGATAACAATAAACAAAATAACAAATAATAATATTTATTTGATTGATGATATTGCACACAAAAATATGTAATTAAAGCTAACTTTTCGTTTTACAAGCGTATATTTAATTTTATAAGGATGAATAAATAATGTACAGATCATTGAGAAAAATTGCCAATCAGAAGCTTTCGGTGATTTTTTTCTTCAATATATGACAGCATTTTATTAATACGCCGATGCCGACTTGTATTTGAGCGTCTAATAGAAAAAATGAGGATAAGTACTCAGTTACGATGTGCTATATACTATCGAAAGATGAGTCTTGACACTTGGATAAATCCAATAAATCAAAAAATAAGTTCTAGAAGCCTATTGTTTCTTTTTCTAGATCACGTCTCGTTCACGATTTCTTATCTACTAGTGATAATTTTATTAAAATTTCTGTGTCAATTTTATATGTTTTTGTATTAAATCCACACATTGGCTTTATTTATGTAGGATTTAGTATATCACGTAAACTCTGACTTCCAGTTTGAGTCCTAGTTCAAATGAGAACAGTGCATTTTAAGAATCAATTTTATCAACGATGGAGCGTAATGTCATGTGAACCTTGTCATCAAAATCAAAAATATCAATATAATGCAATTCTCATTTCTATAATACTTATTTGTTGTTATTAAAATGAAAAATAACTATCATCACTTCGACAAATAGTTTAACTTTGGGATGATATACTAATCATTGAAAAATAACATGTGAATCATAATGAATTGGACTAATTATAAATGCAATTTTTGAATCATTTAGTGTTCATATAATATATTCCTTTATGTATCAAAAGATGAAGAATATCAAGCTCTACAAAACTATGCACTTCACTTTCAAAAAAGAACTTTTTTTTTAATTTTGAAGCAACCAATACACTGATAGATATTGGATATTCCTTCTATGAAACTAAAATAAAAACGAAAACAAAAATATTTTCGACGAAATCGTCTATCTTTTCGGTTATATTTCAAAACTTTAAACGATCAGTTTATGTAAAAACTTCAGAAACAATAAATTAAAAAAACTTTAATCCATATTGAAGTCTGTTAGATTTTTCGTATATTTTATCGAAAACATGTCGCATTCGGTTTGTCAATCACGAAGTGTTGTAGAGAACGAAGTTTTACATTCTTTTTGGTGTCCAAATGAGACTTTTGCAACTGAATTTTAACTTTAAGAAAAGCTTCATCATTTAAAGAATCCAGTCAAAATTACCATGAAGAATATTTTCACGTGATTTTCAATTTCTCCAATAAAGCTTGGATATTCGAAAGTAGATCAATCAAACAGAAGACATAATTCTCTATCTTTTGATATATGAATGAGTATTTTATGCGAATTTAAATGAAAAAAAAAATTGCATTTACATTTAGTCTGATTTATTTGGGCTTAACCGTTATTTTAAATAAATCTACTCTACCTTTCATGTCGAAATAATTCTCCTAAAATAGCTTTGATTTTTTCATGCCGTGCATTTTGACCACCACCAGTTATTTTCGATCTTATCGCATGTGGTACAGTTACACGAAGAGTTCTAAAAAAACATCAATTATATAAAAAAGTAAAACCGAATGTGTACCTACCGTGTACTAAGATTACTCATAATAATATCCTTTGCAAAACAAGTACAACACTTATCTTAAAAAAAAACCAGAAAAAAAAATAGTATTGATTTTTTTTTGCAAACAAATCAAAAAATTAAATGTTAACAATCAATAGTGAACAAACACTTGAAAAATACAAAGTAACACAAATTCTCTAAAGTCAACCGTCAGTTTTCTAATTATAAATTCTGACGTTCTATTCACTGCGTACTAAAGTTAAAATTAGGAAGAAAAATACTACAAATGTTTATGATAAACATGCAATTGTTTTAGTTGTTAAATCATATTGATCATCATTGAATGAATAATCTTCTTTATAATTATTTGATAATGAAAAACGAGAAAAAATATCACGTAAAGATGGACTTGATTTTTCACTTATCGTTTCTTCTATTATTTCATCTTCATTGTCATCAATATCAATATGATTTGAAAGAAGTGTTAGATTAAATTGGGCATTTATATGACCTAAACTAGCTGCTTGACGATAATAATCACATGCCTATGTAAAGTTAAATAAAATTTATTAAAAAAAAAGATTTTAATTAAATTATTTACTTTAGCTCGATCTTGTTCAACACCAATACCTCGTTCATAACAAATACCAAGATTATATAATGCTGCTGCATTTGTTCCAGTTTTAGCAATAGTTTGAAGAGTTTCAATACCAAATTTCAGATTACCCGATTCGAGAGCATCAATAGCTAATTGAAGATTTATTATTGACATTGTTTCTTCATGTAAATTAGAAAGATTGTTGAGTGTTTTCATACAGGCTTCATCAGCTTGAAGTAATGAATCAAGAGTGTCTTCTTTTTCCTGTGGAGGAGGAATCGACTGAACTTCTTTAACCACACATTCAGGTTTAACCGCTTCAATTTGTTTAATACCATTTAGTTTTTGTGTGGACTAAATTTAATAAACAAAAAAAAATTATTTTTTTCTTTGTTTTCATATATATATACAAAAAAATCAATTTCAAACCAGTTGAACGGAAAATTTAATTAATTGATCTTGTAATTTTTCGATATTTTCAAATGAAAGTTGATTATTTTTTAATATTTGATGAATATCACATTTGTTCACAATTGAACGTTTTTCTTCCCTAGAAAAAACAAAACTTTAATAAATAAATCACTAAAGAAATCAATTTTATACCGTTTTAGATTTGAATCATCGTCAGTACTACAAATAGTAGTTATTGGAATAAGGACATCTTGTGCACAGTAATGAGTAGCTGCATTACGAAAAACACGATAAACACAATTGGCTAGACGCCACATGATTTTATTTTGTATGATTTGTTATTTAAATACTGCTCGTTGTCCTAGATGAATCGACCGCATACAACGAAACGGTCACTCATCCTTATGACTAAGATTCGAACAGAAAAGATTAAACTTTAAAATAAAAATAAAATAAACAATAAATAAAGAAAAATAACGTTGGAAATTCTCGTAATATACAATTGGACGAGCCAAATACACACTACTGTTTCGTGTTTACTTTTCTATAGGCGAGAGCACGCGATGACTGACGTCATTTTTTCTTCCACTACCAGTATATAACCTTTTGTATTTTATCGTTCTGTCTGATCTGACGAATGTATGATGAGAGAAAAAAAATGTTCAGAAACAAAAGAAAAAAAAACGAGAGGTCCTACCCAGATTTGAACTGGGGTCGCTGGATTCAAAGTCCAAAGTGCTAACCGCTACACCATAGGACCACATTATATTGCTTTCAAGAAAATCCTTTCATGACGTTGAAAAGGAAACTTATCGAATAATTACACATACTGTCTATTAATATAAAAACCAAATAATTACTAATAATACAATCTGAAAAAACATTTTCAATTAATTTTGTTCTTCTTGAATATGAATAAAGATCGAAATTTATCTTTTTTTTTTTTTGTTAAATGAAAACAAAAAAAATGTAAGATACGATAAATAACACAAATAGCAAAAAAAAAATACTGTACATTTGTTAGTTCTACTATGGTATTCGTTTATGACCAACACGATATTCATAAAATGTCACAATCATTTGAGTAAAATTCCATCGAACCATGATCGAAAGAATATAAGTAAGAAAAAGACCCGTTAATGGATATAGAAGCACATGAACATTACGAAGAAATGGCAGTGCTATAATAATAATAAAAACAAAAGTAGTAATATTCAAATTTTTCTTATTATTAATTCGATTTTTTCATACCACTAAAACCAAGAAATAATATGTATATATAATAGCCGACTGCAATAGCCCATACAGTATTACCAATAAAACAATAGAGAAAACTTGTTGTAACAGCAAATGCTATAAAAAGAAAAATCATTTTTTTAACAATTAAATTAGATTTTCTACTAACAATTGAGAAAAGGTAGTTGACCAACATGTAAAATAGTAAGTAAAGGTAATACAGCATTGAGATGAACATCAAAACAATACGCCCATTCAACATCAATATTCGATTTAGGATTTGCAATCAAATATCGATTAGCTATATACCTAAAATCAAATTCAAGATATAACTAATTTAATGATATCTTTAAAATTAATATATCGATGACAATCAAAAATAAGTTATCATTAAATTTATTTAGATATCTAGTTTCATGTTTAATCCGAACCAGAGATGCCTGCTAAAATGAAAAATTTTCTCTTCCGTCAAAATAAAAAGAATAATGATTTTCTTTTAAGTGTATATATATATATATATTTGAAACCAAGAGAGAAACAAGACTCCTATACATTCAAAATAATATTTTGCAAAAAAATAAATTAGTTTTCTCAATCATCAAATAATACTAAGAGTTCTGGTACTTGACTATTTCAGAACCGATTTATCATAACTAGACCAAGACAAAAGTTTTCACGTTGGATATTGTTCACTTATAAAATAGCACTAGCTGTTTTAATTTGTGATCCAACCACCGATGATAAAAGCTGCGAATGATAGGTTTGAAGCTAAGGACGAGGATGACGAGATTCGCTAACTCGTTATTATGTGCATTAGGAAAAACAAAACAAAAATTAACCTAAACAGTGATGCAAGTACACGAAATGCACTAATACTGCTCACATTTACAGAATATTCTTTTTATTTTTTTCTAAAATGTTAAGCACCTAGCTCAAATCCAGCTAATGATTTTGATAGCCGGTAGAGGTTTCTATCTAATTCATTCTATATTAGATGAAATATGATAGTAAGGTTTCTAAAAAACTGAACGCGATAGTTTTCAGGTTATTTAACAATGCTATCTATTGAGAAATTAATTGTGTCATTTCTGCATGAACTTGGTATCCTAATTACTATCAAAGAAAAATTTTATTCGCTAATTCTCGACATTAAGTAGTTTTCCTGTAGACAATTATTTTCGACAACTTTCCTCCTACACGTGCAGATTCTGCAGATTTGATATGAACTCATCAGTTTTACATGTTACGAGTAGAACTCGACAAACCGAGACTCATACAATCTACTTCTATGTAAGAAAGTTTTCAAAAAGATATTGTATTCGAAGAAGATTTTCAAAAAAAAAATTATTACATTCGAGAAAACTTTCACTTGTTACGACAAATTCTGCATCTCTAGAGATCTATTATATGTTATTGAAGAAAAATTCTACTCATCTTATCGAATTCTTCATTTAAATTTTGTTTTAACTCGTTATTTAATGAGTCGATGAATATTCTCAAATAGAATTTTTTTTTCGAACATACTTTATAATAATTCGAAAAATTTAGTAAAATGTACATGAATTCAAATCCTTGAAAGGTTTCTTTAATTATGACTCATAAGAACAATATATATTCGATTGAAAAATCTGGTTTTTTTTTCTTATCAAATAAAAATTTAAAACACAAATCAACAAACCAGTAAATAGTCGATATTAAAAGACCAACGAGAACACAATCGACTAAAACAACCCATAAAACAAGTTTGATAATACCAAAAAAACCCATTCCAAGGACAAGTCCAATAATAATCGATGAAACTAATTTGAAAATAAAAATCTTAGTAACAAATATTGAATGGTTCTTTTTTCTCTATAAACAACTCATACCAACAAGAAATATCATTAAAAGTACGAGAAAAGCCGGATCATCTCTTGCCCATTGATTTTTTGTTTCTTTAAGAAAAACAACAACAACAATATTTTATTTTTGTTTTTCTAAACTAATATTTCATACGTTTTCGATATTGAAATGCACGAAAAACTTTTTGTGGTGCTATAAATAAATGTATAACTTGCCATATAGCAAATTCAAAATCCATTTGACGAAATTTTAATAAACGTCGAAGATATTTATAACGTTTTGCTGCTGCACTATATCGATCGAATATTGTATGTGATGATGGATTTTCTCCAACATTTAATGATGTTGAAGTATTATTATTAGCTGTAATTACTGGTGGAGGTGACATTGGAACATACATCTTTCAAAAAAATTAGTTTCGATCTCAATTAACAATTGATTGACTGACTACGTCGCTTAAAAGAAAAACGTCGAAATAACAAATAGAAACTATGACTAGATGTCACTTGAAATATGTTGGAATAAAAAATGTATTGATTTATTATTTTTGTAATTATATTTTAATATAAAAGTGAATTTAATGATTTAAAATATAAAAAAATGATTATAAATAAATATTCATTGGATATAAAATTAGTTCTTTTTGATTCTTACAAACATCAATTAACAGTCAGTCTGTTAGTTTTTAAATGTTTTGTTTTTGTTGTGGATACATGCCATTAATGTTTTTTCTTTTGCTTTCAGCTATTTAACTTAGTCAAAGAAAAAAAAAAAAGAAAATCATTTTAATATTGTTATTATTTTTAGAATTTTGAATTTGAAGGATGTTATCATCACCATTACAAACATCTTCATCAACAATGGTAAAAAAAAACGATTTTTTTTCTTGCAAAATAATTTTTTATTATTATTGTTTAGATTGATGATCGAGTTTTAAGAGCTTATTTAATTCATAATACACCTTGGAATTTAGAAGAAAGTGGACATATCGATCATTTTAATTTATCATCGAGTGGTCATGGTGAAAAATTTCTTAATAGTAGTGTTCATTTTCCAGCTGAAATGAGGTATGAAAGTTTTTGTTTTGTTTTTTGATGAAATTTCAATTAGAAATATAAAAATATGTTTAATTTTAGATCAGCAAATCTTAATCAAATGGTATCTAGTATTGTTGATGAAAATAGTGAATATCAGGAACATGAAATGATGCCAACATTTTTTCAACATCAAACATCGTGGATTAATGGTGAACAAACAGATCAACAAATGCATTTTGTACAACAAATGAAAAAGTAATGATTTAATTTAATAAATCGAAATTTCATTTTATAAGATCAGATAGAATTTCGTAAAGTACAAATTGTCAATAATTTTCAAAACAAAATCTTCTTAAAAAAAGATTTCACAGCAAGAATTCTTTTTCTCTTTTTTTTTAATTACTAAACATCATAGTCTATTTATTCAATTGGTAAGAATTGTTCAAAAGAAAACAAGAAACTTCCAGAAGATGCTAGTCACACCATCTACAATACAAAAGTAGATACTTGAAAATTTTCAATCTCACTGTTTAACCTTCACAAGTAAAAGGGTGTGATTACTTAACAGCATGTTCTATAGAAGTTTTTTCAATTAATGATTCGAATTGTCGTCATTGATTTCATGTTGAAAATCAAAACTTTGATAGTGTGATTTGGTGGTGTAATTAGACGAGGACTCAGCTCTTCCCTCTAGAAGGCTTTGAACCTTCTCTTCTCCTTACAAACGGTTGAGTTCTGCTTAATAAGAAACTTGATCCTCGAGCATTGATAGAGGACGTTCGTTGCACAATTTTTTTTCTAGCTGTGCCATTAGTAGATTTTTGTTTATTCAATTGCATAAAAATTTGATTTAATAAAAATATTCTATGAATTAAAAACTTATACTTTGTTTCTAGCATTTCATCACAACAAATGAAACATAATTTATCATCATTTTCTGAAAGTGGTCATCCACGTAATATTTCTGGTAAAACATCTGTTTTATTCTTTCGTAATATTTTTCTTTTTTTGTTATTTTAAGATTTATGTTCTGTTCATTATAATCCTCCAAAAGATATTCAAGTTCTTGTTCGTAAAGGTGATCATACTGGTATAAATTCTCTTATAAGAAATGTATCATTACAACAATTTCGTCAGATGATTGGTTTACAACGTAGTTCAGGTTTAACAACAATAAGTGATCGAAAAAATCGTAATAATAATAACAATAATCTCAATCAACAATCATCCTCATCGTCATCATCATCATCAAGTTCATCATCATCATTACCACCATCAAATATTCATCTTATCAATACATTCAAACAAAAAGAAAATAAGAAATTAAATCAACAATGGATACAAGATACAAATTCAAATAAAATGATGTTACAACAACAACAAATTTATCCTAGACAACATTCAGCAATGATGTCGATTTCATCTCGTATGTTTTATTTTTATTTTTCTCTAATAATTTCTTTGATTTATAGATGATACAATGTCAATGCCATCAACAATGAATGATGCTAATTTAACATCATCAATTGCAACATGCCAAGAAATTAGGTACAAAAATATTTTTCAATTTTTTTTTTCTATGAGTACTTCTAGTGTAATCTTTTATTTAGTTATTTTCGATCTAACAGGTACTTAATTTTCTAAGTATTCTTTCTTAGTCTAACTTTTGCACATAAATAAAATAATCTCTAATATTCTTGATTTTTTTTCTTGGTTCTGTAAGCATAGATTAAATTCACCTATACTATTTTTTTTCTTTTTAATTTCATTGATTTATAAATAAATTTTTATTTTCATATTTTAGACGAACTGGTGTAGCAAATACATTACGTAAGTTAATATTCGTTCTAATGGAAATTCTTTTTGTGATATTCTATTGTTTAGATATTGCTATTGAAAAATGCTATGAGCAACTAAATTATATTCGAGATAGCTATGCAGAAGTAAGTATTCAAATTTTTATAGTATAAGACATCAAACAAGGTTAAACGAAAAACAATAGATCTTTCTTGTATGAGTTCTGATTATTTGCTTTCGAGAGATAATCTTCTTGGATGTGTCTGCTGAATAGAACGAAAATCAATATACGAATTGCTGTAAAAATCTCGAAAAAAAACATCTCGAAAAAAAAATCTCGAAACGCAAAATTTCGAATAACGCAAATCTCGAAAAAAAAATTTCGAAAACAAAAATCTCGAAATGTAAAATCTCGAAATACCAAATGCCGAATAAAATAGGATTTCAAATAGTTAAAGACGTCAGTGGAGAATGAGTTTGGATTGAAACTGAGTGTGGGTGTATGTGGGGATCCGAATCTTGCCTTACCCACACGCCCAAGTATACCTATATCCACACCCGTACACCCACATGCACCCACACCCATACCAAGACACCCACACCCAGACACCCACATTACCCCATGTGCCCACATGCACCCACACTCATACCC